TGCAGTATGTGTTTGTGACACAGCAGTAAATTATTGTATTGATTTGAATAAAAAAAGAATGTTGTTTATAAACAAAATATAACTTAGATATACAATGAATATGATGTCACATAAATTAAACGAGATATATTTTAAATACCTGTACCTAAGATGCAACTAGAACTATATTAACTACTTTTGTGCTATATTAGACAGAATTAGTGAAATAAATTAATAAAATACGCTATGAACATAACAAACAGCTTAAATGTATAAATGTAAAAGCAATATATATTTATATACTGAAAAATACTTCACAATTTATATAAATTCTTTAACAGATCAATTTCAGTTTACCTATATTACGTACTTAGGTACAGATATAGATATGATTATAAATGAAAGTAATATGGACAAAATTTATTGTAATTAATTCTTTCAGTAAAATAACTGTTCTTTAAAATCATAGAAATATTGTGACTGCCATAAATTTTCCTGTAAAAATGGTGTTTATATTAAAAAAGTAAAGTATTCTCTCTCTATCCTAAAAAGTTTTGCTAAAAAAATTATTTTGAAATGAACTGCAAATGTTTGTGTTCTATGATTGTTATCTGATTTCAACATGTGTGTGTATTATACATTAACATTTTATACTATACAGAATGTTCAATTGTTTATTACTCTTGATGGCATAAAATATTTCCTAAAACATGTTAGTGAAATAATAATCTTTTTCAAATTTAAATCTGTTCCTGGTAAAATTATTTTACTACATTGTACTGGAAGCCAGTCTATTTTTATTCATTGTTATTCGTAATGTATTTTTACCTTTCAGCTATCACTGAACGGTATCAAAGACGGAACAATGTTGCATTTATGCAGCACTTTAACATTTTTATTAAAAAAATTTTGGAACCATAATGGATCTGGACACGGCTTAAATTCAAAAGCCTTGAAGAAAATTTGAATAATTCGGGCCGTGAAAGCCTCAAAACTTTCAAATATTTATTCATATCTCGTTGAGCATAATAATAAGAGGTAGGTACCTTATCCGGTACATTATAATGACCAGGGATCATGCGGAAAATTATCGGTATTACGCATCAAAAAATGAGCTTGAGCCCCCATTGTTCAGATTTTCTTGGAAAATAGAATCACAAACTAGAAAGATCAGTTTTTCCATATTTTTTGTTTTGTTTAAGAACCTTCTAAAGATTATATGTTGTACCATTAGTAATATGACATTATAATGCAGGTTAAGACATTATTTAAAGATTTTTTTTCTGATTTTTACGCAATTTAAAGATATTTACTTTTTAGTATAGCAAGAAATATGCTCTATTAATATAACTAGCATATCTAATGGATTACATATTAATCAACAATAAATGAAATATTGTATTTTGTTCCATGTACGAAATTGAATAAGTTTTGAATTTTATTTTAAGTTAAAAAAAGTATTTGATGTGTAAAATGTTTTCTGTAACAAAGTAAATAATTTTCTGTTTATATGTCAAATATTGTGTATTGTAAAAAGATTTTCTAATCTATCTTATTTTTAACATTTTATAAACTTACTAAACTACATCGATTAAGCATTCTACTCATCTGCTCAGTATACTTTGATAATACCAAAGAACAAATTAACCCGATGTTTATATGTTTAAAATCTAACTTGGGGATAGAGACATGAACTGATTAAAAGCAAAGGCACAGCTTGAGTATTACACTTCGTTCTTTGGATTTATCAATAGACATAAATAAACAAGCGTTTATTCGATGTAAGTTTATAATTAAGAAGCATAGAAAAACTACAAATACTTTCTCATACTTTTTCCCCCAAATTTTTAAAGTAGCTTCACAGTCATATTTTGCTTATATATAACTAAAAGTTACTATCTTATTAAATATTGCCATATTATTAATATGGTTGTATATTATCAACACTTTCTTTAGAAGTTTCTTAACATATTTATACATATACTTCTTCAAATCAGTCTATCTGATGTGATCACGTATTAGTATTAGAAGTGTGATTATGTATGTTAACACTAACTTGAGGAATGAGAGGAGATGCAAGTGGTTTGGGTGTAGTTGTTTCAGGAATTGGAATTGAAACTGCAGGAGGAACTGGAGAATGTTTCTTAGCTCTTTCCTGTTGCCATGGTTTTGCATGATCCTTACTTAACCTTTCACTTAAGGCTTTTAACGCTATTTGCCTGAAAATTATTCATCATTTATAATACATAGATATTATTTTTACAATATTAATTTAAGTTGTAACTAAAATTAAAAAATTTTTGTTTTCATACTATACTGTATATATAATTTTTATATAAACATACCTTCTTCTTTCACTGTCATGTGGATCTATACCAGGAAGATTTATAATTAAACCAGGAGGGGCATTAGACATATCAAATCTTCTAACCACTTTTCTACAAATTCCAACTCGTACAAAGAAACCATGTATTGTATTACTTACAACTGCTATTGGTGGTTGTAAAACATTTGGAAAAAAGCTATAATCAAAGTTATTTATATCATAAGATTGAGAACATTATATTTATTTTCATTTATTTAAATAATATTGATATATAATGTACCTTGCAAATGTGAAGTTATCTGCCATATCACCACGTGTACCATTATTATGTTTCTGGTAGAATCTAAGATATATCCATGATATCAATAGACCACTAAGGAACATAGTTGGATGAGTACCTTCCAATAATCCAAAAAGCCATAATATTACTCCCATAACCCAAACCATTAATGGTATATTTCTATTTGTAATTTTTCCAATTGGTGTTTTAACTAATATATGATCTGGCATTATTTGTTTTACAGCTACTGCAACACCTAAAAATAAAAAAATAAAATATAAGTATTAAATAAAAGTTATATGATCAGTTTGAAGAAAAATTTTTTTTTAATTAGCTTATGTTTAAAATATGTTATATTGCCTAATGACATATATAGAATAACAATAGATACTTAACAACAAAAATAATATCTTTTAGGAACTATACCTGCAATATATCCAGTCAATCCGTGGATGTGTATATCAAACAATAGATCCGGATCATTAGTGCACATATATAGAAATAAATAAAATAAGGATGACAGCACAGCGACACCAAAATTAACAATAGCGAAAAAAGTCATCATTTCCATCGCGCCCCATAAAGGTTCGATCAATTTGCCACAAAGTCCGACTGTGACGATATCCACACATACTTCCCAGAAATGTATCTCAAGGAAACAAAAGGTGAACGCTGTCCAAATCCAAAAAGCTGGAGGCAATAAGTAACCTGGTGTCACACTCAGAAGACGCACCGCTTCCGTGGAAAAAGAAAGGCAATAGGAAAACAGAACTACTATGCATATGAATTTCACACTGGTGCTGGTGTTTCCTAAAAGGGCAGCAAATTGTTGTCTCAGATAAGGGATATTTCTACCCAGGCCCTTTATTGCTGCCATTTCTACGAAGCAGCTCTCTTAACCTCTTTGAATCAGAGAGCCACTTGCGCTCTAACTTGACGTTTGCTGCAAGTGTATCCGACACATTGACTTGCTTCTTCACATGTTTGCCAATATGTTATAAATTATGATTTCCAAGTTTGGTACATATGAATATAAATATATTTTCAACGTTATCAATAAAGTTAACTGTATTCCCTTTTATCACTATGGCGCAATAAATTAAATACTTTTAATATTCCAACATTTTCAAGATAATCATTATTTTGTTATAAATCGACAACTTGAATGTGTTATCACAAACGAGGTACAGAATAGACTTATGTAATATCTTATGGGACTATGTGTCCGCAGCAGGGTGATCAAGAAGACCCTTATCATATTTGTATCGTTTCCAACATTACCGATTTACCATAGAATAAGATTACAACATTAGCAGTGGTTTTGGAATTAAACATAGCTATGAACTTACAAATAGAAATAATTCATCTCATATTGAGATAATTCATCTCATGCGCGTGTTCTACTGCTGTCAAAAGATCGTGAACAGTTCTACCACGCAATTCAATATATTTAGTCGTGCTTACTACAAAGGGTAACTTGTCGAGATATTTAGCAATACAGAAATGAGTAAGACAAGGAAAGGAATATCGGTAGACAAGGATAGCACTAAAGAGTGAGTTAGACAAGGACAGGAACAGCGTTAGACAAGGACAGAAAATTCTCAAAACGAAACTAACGCCATCTCGCGTCTGTTGACGTAAATTACGATTTTTTAATAGGAACACAGGATATAAACAGAGGTATTAGACAAGGATAGCACTAGTGTGCGAGAAGGATAGAGAGAAAACGTCTCCTATTGGCTGGCGGACGGCTGAGCTCCGCCAATCAGGTCCTATGTCAAGCCGGTCGGTGAAAGATCATTACTAATTCGATAATTAGGATGATTTTACAAACTTTTAGAATTTAAGAATGTAGGATGGACCTTTAGCTACTTCCACATATAGTTTTTAATGCAATAGACCCTTTCAATAATTAGTTATTAACAATTTTATTAGTTGATGTCGGGAATGATCTTCCGTTGATTTCTATCAACGGAAGGATTTGAAAGTCAGGAAAAATGAAGAAATACAATTATTTATTAAAAAATCAATTATTTGTTGTAAGATAAGTGTACAAAATGAGTTTGACAAAAGATTACAGTATGCCGGTATTGCTTTACATCATTTTACAGTCTATTTATTTCTCACTTATACACCATGCACATTTTCTTTCGTAAAAATCGCATTGTTTAAGCAATATTCTATTGCAAAATTAAAGTCTGTGATAGAACAGAATGGAATCGGCGTTGAATGTCGCCAATTGTTTGTTCAATTTACCGCTAGATGGTTCTCATAGATATTTCTTTTATTATTTTTGTTTCAAGAATCTTTACAAAAAATAATTTCAATTTACATTAATTTATTTTTGTAAACTTA